GGCTTGAGGCCTTATGGCACCTGCCACTGGCCAACCTGCCCAAACTCCAATGGCGACTTGGGATCTGACTGTCGTTGAGCCCTTTACTCCAAGGGCCAGCACATCAACCTCCCGCATCATATGACTGAACTGGCTGGCAGCTTTCAGCATGACCTACCTCTGAATGGCACGACCATTAGTTTCTGTTTTGTTCACACGTTTTTGGTTTCTTTTGTATTATTTGGTAACCTACTAAATGCCTCTATATGAATAGAAAGGAATGCCTGCCTCCAAATATGGAGATCCTGAAGTACCACTCAGACCACTGATTAAGACACCACATACACCTTAAGGCAGTGCTTTCCAAGATATGTGTTGCGACACTGTATCGCCTGGAGTGGGCAGGTGTGTCACTCAAGCAGAGCTTGTAACCCTCCAGCTGTAATGGTGTTTAGGTCTGTCCGGGTGATTGGGCCACACTGGCAGACCCAGTAATGGAGACACAATAAAACTCAGAATGTGATCAGGAATGCAGCCATTCGCCAATTGTCGCTGTGCTGACGTTACTCACACAGTGCTGAACTCTATCTTCTATCCCTGGTAAATCTGCACTGACTAAATCTGTTCCCATTGCATCCGCACAACGTCCATGCAATCCGCCCCCTGCTTGTACATGGGGAGATGAGAGGGAGGGCTCAAGTAAGGAAGTGGGGCTGGAAGGCAGATCGGTGTCAGTATCTACCGTAGAAGCAGGGCCGGCGCAACCGTGAGGCGAACTAGGCATTCACCTAGGGCGCGGGCCTGCTGGGGGTGCCCACTGGGATGTTTCCTGGTGGGATGCCTGCCCATGTCTGGGGCCGCAGGGATGGGCAAGCTGGCCTCTCACTCCTCCCTCGTGCACCCTCTGTGATGCCGGGAGCCGGAATATGATGTCATTCTAGCCCGGCATACCAAACAGCGGACATGAGGAGTGAGGAGCTACCCCACACTGGACCCCAGGGAGGTGAGTGTTTGACTGTCAGTGAGTACATGTACATCAGTAAACTTGTCTGTAGATCAGTGTGAGATTGTCGGTAGGTCAGTGTGAGCTTATCACTGTGAGCGTGGATGTGTGTCAGTATGAGCTTGCCTATAGTGAGCCTGTTTGTAGATCAGTGTAAGCTTGTCAGTGTAAACTTGTCTATAGTAAGCTTGAGTGTGTCAATGTGAGCTTGAGTGTTACTGCACATAAGTGAAATTGGCTGTAGTGAAATTGTGTGTGTCAGAGAGCTTGTGAGTCTGAGCTTGCTTGTGTTTGTGCCACTGAGATTGCAGTGCCTCTGCTCCGCCCATACTGTCTGTAAGTGATAATGTGTGTGTGTGCCTATGCGTGTGCGTGAGTAACTGTCTGCCTGTGACGATGTGTGTGACTCTCTGTCTGTAACTGTGAGTGTGTGACTGTCTGCCTTTAACTGTGTGCATGTGGCTATATTTGAGAGTATATGTGTATTACTGTGTGCATGTGACTGTGGAACTGTGTTTATTTGACACTGCAAAAATACACATCTGCATACACACATGGACTTACATGCATTTTCATAATTTAATCTGAGTGAAGTAACCATCACAAATATCACACACAATCAAAACAGTGAGTAGCTCAGTGTGAGCATAATGCTTTAATTATTACATTTATTATTATTATTTTGTTATTACAATGTATGTATGTGTCCATATCTCTCGTAAAGGGTTAGTAATAATTTGTAGTGTAAGGGTGTGAAGGCACAAACAACTGAGTTCTAAATGTTAATTTCTTCAGGTTTTTTACAAAAAATGTATTAAGAAATAAACATGTTCAGTTAATGGCTAATTTGTGTAGAAATTTTTCAAAACTTTTACTGTACAGAATATCGGTACCAGTTATTGGCAATCGTCCAAAAAGACAGCTGATCATCAGTATTGGCTCTGGAAAAATTATATTGGTCTATTCCTCAAGGATAACTCGCGGGAAAATTTTAGTGCATAATGTGGAGAAAATAGCAATTCATGTGACATGGCCAAGTCTGGTAGAATTTGAATAGAAAAGACTTGTGAAAGATATAGAAAAGTAATTGCATATGTAGACTCTGCAAGAGGTATATTTAACAGCTAATGTGATAATGTGCACTGTATGGTACAAGTTTTTATCAAAATACCTTTCTTCAACCAAACGTCTGTCAGGTGTAACATTGTAGCTATAGTACATCCAGCGGTTCAACATAACTGTAGGAAATATTACATTAAGTATATTCTAAAGTATTGGTTATTGTATCTTCCAAGGTGACATTCTAGGTTCTGCATTAGAAGGCTACAGCCACATGTGATACCTTGACAATTGGGCTTTCTATGGGTAAATGGAAGATGCCACATCGCTGGTGGCCACACCTGAAAAAAATCTGTTCTAGAGCTAGTGAACACGTTAAAGAAAACAATATTGTATATCTTGTTTTCATATATTTAATTTTATTTGCGATATAGTTAAAGGACAAGGCATACGTTGTGTTAGGGGTGTCTAACATTCACCAAATTTATTATTGAGGGTAGATCAACATCATCTACTTAGTATTGCTGAGAAGAGAATCTGTCATGTTCTGCTGGAGGACAATCTTCTTTATTTCTTGTTGGCAAAATGGTTACTGCGAATGGCTGTACAGGCCAAGTTTAAGATAGAAATCCATGCCCACTCTGGAATAATATTTCCCAAGAAAAGCTGGAGGAAAAAATACATGAATTGTATAAAATTCTGCAAAATTACTCTCATATATAATTAGGTGGAAGCTAAACACTATGGACTGGCCGGAGGAAACAGGCTACCCCAATTCATCCTGGTAGAGTAAAAGGGTATGTGTAACAGCTAATATAAAACTTCACAAGAAACATAATTATGGCTGGAAATCGTGGTTTAAAACTTCTGTATGTTAAAGGACAACCAAAGTGTTAGGAATACAAACTTAAAGTGCCTCGCACGCATTCAAACGTCCCCATAAAATGCATGATAATCAACTCGGACAATGCAGCAGATACACAATGTAAACGGCAATGTTTTGCAATTAATTTATAAGGACAGGGTTACTGCACCCAGGCCACTCCATTGAGAGGAAGTGGACTAGATGGCTATAGTGTCCCTTTAACATGGAATAAATTGGATTAATGGCAATTAAATGGAAACAATATATCATTTTCTCTTCTACTGCTTGGAACTCCAGAGCCCATGACTCCAATTCATAATAAACATAAATTTTCACAGCCCCCATGCACCCATTCACTTCCTACAACCGTGTCTCCATGCCGATTTAAACCATCTATACAAGAAAACAACTTATCTGTATATTGAAATTCACATACTACATAATTAATTGGTTATATCCTATCAACTAACTTTGCACACCCTGAAGCATGGACATATAGCATAGACAGGAGATATGTTTATCAGTTCATTCTCTCATTACATTACACTCTTCAACCACAATATTAAAACCACATGCCTAATATTATGTAGGTCCCCTTGTGCTGCCAAAACAGCTTGGATATGTCGAGGCATTGACTTGTGTCCTATGGTATCTGGCACCAAGACACTAGCAGCAGAACCTTTAAGTCCTGCAAGTCCTGAAAGGTGTGGTCTCCATGTATCAGATTTGTTGATCTAGCACATCCTTCAAATGCTCAATCGGATTGAGATCTCGGGAATTTGGAGGCAAAGGCAACATCTTGGACTCTTTGTCATGAAGATACGTGTCAAAGTAACATACAAATGAATGCCAAGACTCAAGGTTTCGCAGCAGAACATTGCCCACAGCATTTTACTGCCTCTGCCATTTCTTCCCCAGGTAAACAGAAACACAACCAGCCAGCCACCTGATTTAAAAGTAAACTTAATTCATCAAACCAGGCAACTTTCTTCCATTGCTCCATCGTCCAGTTCTGAAGCTTCCGTCCCCATTGAAGGTGCTTTGGAGGTGTACAGGGGTCATCACGGGCACTCTAACCGGTCTGTATGTTCGGACACCTTTCTATCATGTCTAACATTAAGTTTTTCAGCAATTTGAGCTACAGTAGCTTTTCTGTCTGATTGGACCAGATAGGCTGGACTTTGCTTCCTGCGTGCCTATGACCCTTTTGCCGGTTCACTGGTTGTCCTTCCTTGCACTAATTTTGGTAGGTACTAATCACCCGACAAGACTTGCCGTTTTGGAGATGCTCTGACCCAGTCATTTACTCATTACTATTTGGTCTTGTCAAAGTCACTCGGATCTCTTTGCTTCCTAATTTTCCTGCTTCCAATACATGAAATTCAAGAAACACTTATACAAGGGGCGCCACAAAACACACACAGTGATATAGTTACCACTTTTATAAAACATTACCTCAAAAAGGGAAGAAAGGGAGAAGGGAGCTCATAGGGTAATACTTTCATATTAATAAAGATACAAATAACAAATGGAACACTCACAAAAAACGTGGCACAGAATAAATTTTAACTGTGCAAAAGCGCTTTTCAGCCTGAACTAGGCTTGTTCCCATCAGCTAAAGCCGCAGGGAGTCGGGGATTCCAAATGACAGTCCAACTAAACGTCCATGAAGTCCACAAGTTTTTCCAAGTGGCTGTCCGATATAACGGTGGATTGTTTCTGGGATCCTTTGCTCTACGCATGTCTGAGTCGACTTCTTCAGAAAATGAATACACCCCCAAATCTTCGGCGTTATATATATATATATATATATTTTTATGTTGGAAGTTTATGGGATTTTGGAGTGATCCTTATAGTAGTTGCTGCCCTCACCTGAATACACCCTATGGATCCCTATGCATTTGTTTTTTACATGAAATTCAAGAGCTGACTGTTCACTTCCTGCTTAATAAATATCCCAGCCTTGGACAGGTGCCAGAGAATAGGGATATAATTAGCAATAGGCTTGCACAGCATCATGGTTGTAGTTCTACCACATCTAGGTATCTACCTTTTGCCCAGCCCTTATCTAAACTGTTGTTGTGAATGCCTCCATCAGTCACCACTATTGTTTACTTTACTTCCACTTCTCCTTACCTGGAGTGAGTGAGAATAAGATCCTGTTGTCCTTCGGCATAGTCCTATGGTCCTTACAGCTTTATAGGCTGTGTCTTTTGCTAGTGGAACCAGTATGGACGTTCTTTTAAAAAATGTACACATTGGCCTTATCATGTTTGTAGCCACAAAAACTGGGGTCAGACTCTGTATAAAAATTCCTTTGGAAGAGTATTCATGGTATAAAGCTTCAGTTAAATTGTCCAGGTAAGTCTGAAAGCAAGAAAGCTATTTGTGGTTAGTTAAGAGATAAAATTACTGATACAGTCAGGACTATTTAAACACTTTTTACACCATGTTATTGATTTGTATTACGATGTTCCTGTAAAAACAGATATATTTATCCACCTTTCCTTGTGAAGATGTTTCAATATGCTTCACACACTATTGTAGTTTAATTATAAAATTTAACAACCGAAAAAATGGGGCTGTCGGATTAACCCCTTAAGGACACATGACATGTGTGACATGTCATGATTCCCTTTTATTCCAGAAGTTTGGTCCTTAAGGGGTTAAACAGATGTCCGCAAATTTAGCAACCATCGGGAAAAAAGTTTAAAACTTCGCTTATACTAAGGGTCATAATAACCCTCATTGGATTTTTTAAACATACCCTATGCCTCAAACATGCCATGTCGTGGCCGGTGCATGTTCACTAATCAGCCAGCTGCCAGCGGTTGCTTTCTGTCATAAAAGACTAGTGACCGATTAATGTAATTTATCAGGGGGAGCGGGGGTTGACAACCCCTGCACCCACAGTGGGGTCTATTAATAAGATAATCGTGGAAAACATGGTGCCCCCTCAGCCCCCAACTGTGGTAAGTGGATGGGTTTGATTTTAAAAATTGGAATGTTCTACCTGTCCAGCTCCCACCCATGAGCGGTGGGTTGGGTCTTTAGGTCCAATAAACCTAATAACTGTAACAAAAAAAATACTTTCCATTAGACGGCTTCTTTTTTCTTAAAACTTTTTATTTTTTTGCCTCAAAAATTCCTAAAGTCCCGCTACTGTTAAAATAAAATAATACAAAAAATAAACCCCTGATGCAAAAAAACGAATCCATGTTGGCCTATCGAGAGTTTGATCATGCTATGAAATCTCAGTCAGAGCGCTTGAATTAGTTGGCTTGTAAGTTTTCTGACAGGCAAATCTCACTTCCAAGCAGGGGAGGGCTGGCAGCGTTAGGTCTGGGGGGCAAAACCAGTCAAGTGGCCCATTGCACCACCAAATCAGTTCACCATCCATGTCCACCTTTTCCTGGTTTTATAACGGATATTGATGTTATGCTAATCAGTAGCTCTTTGCCATACTCGCTCCTTCACGGCTCTGACTTTCAATGTTGTCAGAGCGCAGACTGAGAATCTCCGAGCCTGTGCTCCGACTCACTAACTGACCGCCGGAACCACGAGGGAGAGGATATAATCTGACTGCACCTACTGCTGGTGCGCACCAGTGGACCACCAGCGAATCATTTAAATTGAACATGCTGGTGTCCCCAACTTGTGAGCTGTGTTGGCCGCCGGGAGCCTCTGTTGTCATGGCACCCTGCGTGACCGCACAGCGTGCACACCCCAACGGCTGGCCCTGCTGACACACACTGATGTTACTACTTAGAAATCCCTCAATATTAATACAGACATCAGAGTAAACACCAATAAACTGTGGAAACAGAGCTGATCCCCCCCCAAATTTATAAAGATTTGCTTAGTGGATTTGTTGTAAGATCATGCCTCCTCCTCTCTCTCTCCCATGCGCTGCTCTGTAGGCTGGGAGGAAGTGAAGAGTAATCACATTCTCCCAGCACAGCGCCACCTGTGGCTGCATGGGGAACAGCTGGTTAATGTAATGTTTGCAGGACGGCCAGCTGCCGCAGAACCTCTTTGTTCCCGTCTCTGCAAAGGGCTCCAGGCACTGCTTGCTGTGAGTGTGAGCCACTGTAAATTAGGGGCAGAGGGCACTTGCACTGCGGTAAAGACGGGTCTGGGCAGGAGGAGAGTGCAGTGCAATCAGTGCACTCCCCTCCTGTGGGTCACCAGTAGATTGGTGCACCTGCCCAGGATCAGAGCCGGTGCAAGGATTTTTGCTGCCCTAGGCAAAAAAAAAATGTGCCGCCCCCCCATGTGACATCACAATGCCCCACCGATATGATCTGCCATATGAACTAACGCCAGTGTGTGTTTACATTAAAACGCCTGCAGGGACCGGCTATAGACACCAGAACCACTTCATTAATCTATAGTGTCCCTTTAATGTGAGGTAAATTATAGATTAGTGTCACAAATAATATACTAGATTGCCTACTTACAATCAGATGAGGATGATGATGGGCTGCAGTTTGGCTCCACTGGTCTGGTGTAGAACAGGATATCTGGAGGCTGTTTGCAACTGTGGTCACAAAATTCAATGTTCTGGGAGAATTGGAAGCAGCTCCATTTTTGGGGGGCCCCTTACACAGCTCAAGGTCTGGGCCCCAGGGCCTAATGGTGAGTATGCCCATAAGGCCCACTCATAAGTCCACTTATATGTTCCACCCATGAGTTCGCTCACAGGGAGTGGTGTGTGTAGGGGATGTGTTGTGTGTTATTGTAGAGGATATAATATGTGTGCTTATGGTATGTAGTGTATAGGAATACCAGTTTGTGTAGGTGATGCAGTGTGTTTGTGTGTAGTGGAAGCAGTGTTTATTTGTGTATAAGGGATGTATTGTGTGTTTCTGGTTGTGTCTAAGGGATGCATTGTGTGAATCTGTGTTTGTATGCATAAGGGATGCAAGGTGGGTGTCTGTATCTGTGTGTAAGAGATGCATTGTGTTTATGTGTGTATGTAAGAAAAGCAGTGTGTGTGTTTGCATGTGTGTATAAGGGTTTGTGTGCAAAGAATGCATTGTCTTTGTGTGTAAGGGTTGCATTGTGTGTGTAATGGATGCATTGTGTGTTTCTCTGTGTGTAAGGGAAGCATGTTGTGTTTCTGTGTGTGTAGGAATGCATTGTGTGTTTCAGTGTATGTATAGGGATGCATTGTGTGCGCGTGTGCGCGTAGTGTGAAAGAGCTCCCTATCTTGCCCCCTGTCCTATAGAGCTGTCCGTTCTGTCCCTTAGAGCTCTCCCCCACCCTCCCCTAGCGGTCTCTTCTCACACTCACCCACCCTCCCTGTGCTCTTCTCATCCTCCCCTCCACCCTCCCTGTGTTCTTCTCACTCCCCCCCTCCATGTGTTCTCCTAACCCCCTGTGTTCTTCTCACCTCCCCCTACCTGTGTTCTCCTCATATGCCCTTCTCCTCTCCCCACTCCCTGTGTTCTTCTTACCCCTTCTCCTCCCTGTGTTCTCCTCACCACCCACCCTCCCTGTGTTCTTCTCAGTCCCCCCTTCTCCTCATCTCCCCTTCTCCTCACTCTTACTCTCCCCCTCCCCTTGTGTTCTTCTTACTCCCCCACTTGTTCTTCTTACCCCCTTCTTCTTCTTACTCCCACCTTCTTCTTACCCCCTTTTTCTTCTTACTCCCCTTCTTCATCTTACCCCCTTCTTTGTCTTACTCCCTCCTTCTTCTTCTTACTCCCTCCTTCTTCTTACTCCCTCCTTCTTCTTCCTCCCCTTCTTCTAACCCCCCCCTCTTCTTCTTACCCACCCTTGTTCTTCTTACCCCTTGTTCTTCTTACCCTTGTTCTTCTTTCTTCTTACCCCTTGTTCTTCTTACCTTGTTCTTCTTGCCTTCTTCTTCTTACCCCCTTCTTCTTCTTACCCCCCCTCTTCTTCTTACCCCCACCCCTTCTTCTTACCCCCCACCTTCTTCTTTGCCCTTCTTCGTCCTTGAGTGGCCACTACTTCTTGGATGGAAAGCAATTTAAAGATTCATCGGTTTTCCTTCTTACTCCCCTTCTTCTTACCCCTCCACTTCTTCTTACCCCCACCCCTTCTTCTTACCCATCCCCTTCTTTCCCCCACCCCTTCTTCTTACCCCCTCTTCTTACCCCTCCCCTTCCCTGTAGCGTGGCCGAGCTCCTCTCCGGTCCGCGGTGCCCAGCTGGAGTGATAGCAAGGTGCACACTCAGTGTGCACTTCCTGTCAGTCCGGCCGGTTACAGGAAACAGAAACTCCGCGCGGAACAGGAGTTTCTGTTTCCTGTAACCGGCCGGACTGACAGGAAGTGCACACTGAGTTTGCACCTTCCTATCACTCCGGCCGGGCACCGTGGACCGGAGAGAAGCTCGGCCACGCTACAGGGAAGGGGAGGGGAGAAGCTGTGTTGCAGCCGCCAGAGGCTCTTAGCAGAGCGCTCAGGCCGCTGCAGCATTAGGACTGGCCCGCCGTGCCCGGTTTTAAAATTATTTTGGGGGCCAATTGCCTCCCTGCCCCCCGGCCTAGCCCGCCCCTGCTTCCAAGTGATTTGTCACTTCTAAGTGATCTGTCATTGTTCTTTAATATGAAGCCTCCACCTGTGCCAGATCCCCCTGTATTTTAAAGGGACTGAGCAGCAATAGTTACCCAATTACTAGTTTATAAATTGCAGTGAACAGTCAAAGGTTGCTTGCTGTTTAATAGCTTTGCCGCCACCCATGGCATGGTGGGTTGGGCATGATAGAGTTTTAAGAGTTACCTTGTGCCAAAAGCAAATTCCTTATTCCGTCACCCTTGTTTAACCCCAGGGCCCTTGGTAATTGCTTAACCACTGTTATTGTCACTTTACAGTTAATCCTGCTCTGGTGCTTGCAAAGCGCATTAATTTTGGTTTCATTTCAAACACCGTACCCATTTATGAGGTACAGCTGCTTAAATAAATCCTTTTGAAATTAAATTTAAAAATTAAACAACCAAAAACAGCTGATATTTATCAACAGTTTTTGGTCAAAATTAAATCGAGGCCTGCTTTGGTTATTGTTGCAGCATAAAAAGTCTCTTAGGTCTCTTAAATGTTGGTTGTCTTGAGTATGTTCCTTGTACATGTAGTCTTGTCCTTTACTTTGAACTTTTAGCTATGAACCTACCTGTATAGATAGAAACAAAGAAGAAATGAGGAGTAGGGTCATTTATAAAATTCAATCCCATGTAAAAGGAGGACTCCACTGATGGAGAGAGAGCAGCTTTGGATTGAGGACCAGTCACATTTTGGGGTGGTATGGTAGAGGTGTGTCTGATAGAACCTTCCGCATCAGCTCCCTTATTACAGTTTCATTATTTTTCTAATCTGTCTATTTGTCTTTACAGATTTTCTCTACAGTCTCTAAGTTTATTGAAGTAGGTTGTACATGCTTATGTATTTTATATAATAAAAATCCATAAGGAAATAATAGATACACAAAGTTACCTTGGAAGCTCCATATATGGCTAATTGAGGGCATATTATGCGGGCGCTAGCAGAGGCCACATTGATAATTGCTCCTTTCTTTCGCTGTACCATACCCGGCAGTACTATGTGCAGCATCATAGTGGTTGCAGCAATATTGACATTGATGATCTCCCAAATTTTATCCTCTGGAACATCTGTTACATACTGGGGGTACTCATAGCACACCCCAGCATTGTTCACCAAGATGCCAACATCAACATCTTTCAAGGCCTCCTTAATGGCAGGAAACACTTCACGGCCCTTGTTGAAATCGGCATCTATGAAGCTGGTTTTAACTCCATAGGTTGTAGCAATGGACTCAGATACTGTTTGTAATTTATCTCTATTGCGGCTGATCAGGATGATATTTATGCCAAAGCTTGCCAACTCTTCCGCGTATGCTTTCCCGATACCATCCGTGGCCCCTGAGGGAAAAATAAGCAAAAAGAAAAAAAGGTTTAGGAGTGAGTGGAACACATTTAATGTTTTAAATTCTAATAAGGCAATGTTTCTAATCAAGTATATATTCAGAGTGTGGGAATTATGTTGATCCTTACTAATCATACCATATTTTAACTAACATGAAACACCAAATAACATGTTCTTATTGAGTACTCAAACGAGAGAGAGAGATACTTTGTAAATGTTAACCAATTTGCTATATCCAATTCTTGGCTTGCTGCAAACTTACCAGTCACAACAGCCCACCCTCCATATTGTCTGGCCAGGAAAGTTTTACTGAACATACGAATGCTGATGTGAAATTTGATTGCACGGTAACAGCCGCACAGCACATTAAGGCCTTTCTGAGCCGTGTACAAGGCTCCCACTACAGCTAGAAGTTCCAAGTGGTTACGATAAGCCTGTAAAATCTCCTCATACAGTGGTGATAAGGCCCTCTTCATAACAGCCACAAGCTCCATGATTCTGCTGTGGTTTGTATCTGAAATTACAGCAATACATATATGTGAGTTGATGAAAAAAAACTGAAAAATTTATATGTTCTCATCTTAAAGGGACACTATAGTCACCAAAACAACTTTGATCTTAATGAAGCAGTTTTTATGTATAGATCATGCCTCTGAATTCTCGCTGCTCATTTCTCTGCCATATCACTTTTGTTTCTGTTTATGCAGCCCTAGCCACAATGCCCCTGACTGTGACTGACACAGCCTGCATGAAAAAATGGTTTCCTTTTAAATCAAATGTCAACACTATAAAAGGCCTAGAAGAAGCTGGATGAACCAAAACAGGGGCAGATGCCAAGCGTTTTTTTAAAGAGTAAAGAAGACTTAGCCTCCACAGACCAGTCAATGTGATTTGCTCAATTTTTGTTCATGGTAGTGATAGGAGCAATGATTTGAGAAAGTTTTTGATCAATTGTCTATAGTAATTTGTGAAACCGATGAATCTTTAAATTGCTTTCCATCCAAGAAGTAGTGGCCACTCAAGGATAGATGATAGTTTACTAGTGTGACGGAGTTCCTGTACTCCAACTGAGTACCTCTGCCCAGTCCACTTGCTGGCTGCTTGGGGGGGACCTGGAAGACTTCAGTCCCAGTTGCGGAAGCTTGGCTGGGGTCTCTCCAGAGCTCTTTCACCTGATCAGGCTGCAGCTTTCTCCTTGTAGACAGTTATTGTCCCCTCTGCGTATTCCTCTACAACCATCATTCCAGGAAGGTATCTATACCTCTGCTTGCAGCATGATCAGCCCCTGCCTTTATAAAGGCATGTGCAGCTCTTATCCCTAGCTCTTTTTGAATTGTCCCAGGCTGCAAGAATCATACAACCAGCCAACAGATCCAAAGACTCTTTTGCTGGGATCCCTGAACAAACCAGACAGGACACAGAGTTCCAAAAGTGCCTAGCAAACTCAGCTTTATTGAAAACATCAGATCTTTTTATACCCCCCACAGCCTCATTTACATACAACAGTGGTTACACAAAGTTCCCCTCCAAGTCCTCCACCGTAACCCCCTTCCCAAACAGCACAGTGAGCCCAAGTCGGTAAATAGCAGATAGTAACCAATTGCACTATGTAACGGCACCCTCAGACATAAAAGGTTTTAAAAGCTGTTTAGGAGATCTTCCCCTTCCAGAGACACAGGCAGCTACTGTAGACACCAATCACCGAACCGGAGAAGCATATGAATGATCTCAAGCATGTGAATGCTGTAAACAGCTGAATAGGTAAAACCATACAAATAGGTTTACACTCCTAGAAGTCAAACTGGAACCGCATACAATAAATCCCCCAAAGAATGAGACAAGGCTCCGTGTTGAGAATCAGCATACTCCAAATACAAACATACTTCAAAATCATACAAATTGGTCCAGTGGTTCAAAAGATAGATTGTAGTCCTTTGTAACCAAATGAAGCATGGCTTTTCTGCCCAAAACCAGTTCCACAGAGTCTTCTGTCCTGGAGATAATTGGGAAGTAATCCAATTATCTCCAAGGATAGAGGCAAAACTCCATTGAACACATGGCAGCAAAAGACAAAAAAATACATAAAAATATATAACGGTGCAGCCATTGCATAAAACAGGTACATTCAACATATCCCCAGATAGCTCAGATCTGAGCGCACATTATTACTGAATGGCGCTCAGAGCACACACATACAGTTCAATTGCCATGGAGCCAAAGTCTTTCCCATAGTCTTTCATTATACGAATGGGCTCCATGGCATAGCTATCTGGGGTATTACCGCTCAAACAGGGCAAACACCGAATGACCCGGCTTTCGTGTCTTCGCGGGGGAAAATCAAGCGTTTCAACATTGGGCCATAGTTTAAAGGCAGCAGGCGGGCAACCAGGCTCCTCCAATGCACAGTGGCGAGATTGGTCTCGTCACACACTACATATCTTAATTACATTAGTTTAAATGCAGTACTGTGGGCGGGGACACACCACAACAAGGGCTGAGGACCACATGGGAGATTTAAAGGAGTGACTTGGCAGCCACTCTGAATTGGTCTGGATGTGTGCCTGGAACAATGGGACAACACACTGCTGTGAAAACAATAAGACAACAGAAGGGGAAAGAAAATATCTAACAAAAGCCAAACACATTATACACACCCTGCACCTAAAATAGGCACAGGGTGACTAAAACATAAGGGTAATCTGGGGACCTACATAAAGTGTCTGTCTTTCATCCCCAGTAATGGTGACTACTGTCACAATCAGGATCCATCTTAAACCCTTTGGCAGAAATAATTTAACCCAGGAAGGGTTTCGAGGTTTGATTAAACAAACACTTCTCTAATTTGCAATACAAACCATTGGCAAGAAGAATCTGCAAAACTCTCCTAACATGTTTATGATGTACATTGGGATAAGAAAAAAGAAAACAAAATCTACCAATAAGTGTGTCTCTTGAAAAGAGAGTAGCAAGAATTAATAAAACTTAACTTTTATGATATCAATCTATATAAAATGAACTATATATAATAAGGAAAACAAATAAAATCAAGTATTGAATGTTCAGTCCTGTATATGCAGTGCTGAGTAATATAGCAAGATAGTAGCAGTGTGTGTTAACAAATAAATGTTACCACCAAATACAATAATGAGATAACAAATAATTTCAGAGGGTATACTCTTTCTGAAGGTAGCATACTACCTGGTAGTAGTCTGATTGCACAATCACATGGCCTATGAGAAGGGAGATGTTCCGACACTATCTTATCAAACACATTGCTAAAATCTGCATATTGAGGTGGAACAATAACATATAGAGAAGGAGCAGTAGGAACCTTAAGTGAAATATTTTTTTGCTAAGGTTGATACATTTAATGTTACATAAAAGGACTTCAAGAGACTATCTGTCTTTATCTCCAATCAAGTGTAGGGTTATGTTTAATTTAACCATGAAAAACCAAGTACCAGAGAACAAGATGGAGAGGAAATAATTTGGAATGAAATAATTAGTATAATCGCCCAGGTTTGGTGGGTGACCAATGGAACTGTGTTAAAGGCCTACCATGTATGGCCTTAACAGCCAAGGGTGTTTCTTTCACTTCTAGAGGGAGAGAAATAGATGTAGAAAAATTCTGGCCAATAAAGTTGCCAGCAGTTCCAGAATCAATGAGGCCAAAGTGTGTGAGCCCACTATCCCGCCATAAAATCTTTTGGGATCCGCGATGCCATGATTTATATTTGTGTAAATCACAAAGAAGAGGCATACACAACTTTTTTGCAGTGGTATCTCACCCCGCTTTGGCTGTAACAAATGGGGAAGTCCGATTCTGACTCATGCTGGAAGGGTTGTGGGTCCAAGGTCACTTGCTATCATGTTTGGTGGGAATGCACACAAATAGCTCAGCTATGGTCCCAAGATTCACAGCTGGTGTCCAAATGCTGCACTCAGACATACCACTGGACCCTTGGATCTGGCTCCTTTCTAAACCACATAAAGACACACCTAGAGCACACAACAAATCAATAGCCAAAATAGCATTAACCATGTGACAAGTAATTGCAGAGCAATGGGGAAGGGCTAACATTCCCGCTTTGGAGATAGTGAAAGACAAGGTGGAGGACGCAATGTAAATGGATAAACTATCCACCTTGAATCACGATACCACCAAACACTTCAACAAAATATTTGAGACTCCTGACTTACTAAATTTTCAATATCTAGTTAGGTGGTTCTGTTCCGGCGATGGTGGGGATGAGTTAACCCTCCCACTCTCCAATTTCCCTTTCCATCAATGAGTGGACTACAGCCTTTTCTGCCCTTTTCTCACCCCTTCCCAACTTTACCTCACCTTTCTCTTTATAACTTTTTTACTCATGCTCATCCAAGGTTTTCTATTTAACTCCACCACCAATACAGGTTTCCTTTATTATGTTACTGGCATTTTACCTCTAGTGACTAATTCATTAGCTATGCTCACAGATTTGTGATCATCACAATCCACTATTATCCTAGTAGGCCTTGCTCACAAAAACACAGTGCAGTCTTCCATGACCCCCATCTACGTGATGTACTAGAGACCGTGATTTGGTAATACCAAATTCTTTGTTTACCGATATGTCCACTCTCAACCACCACGCTTCTATTGTCACTTTACAACATCCCAAACAGGGGTCGTCCCGGAAGCAACTTACCAGGCTATCTCCAATTAAATGCCATAACTCATCTACTGTATCTCACAAAAGTGAGTACACTCCTTACATTTTTGAAAATATTTTATTATAGCTTTTCATGTGATAACACTGAAGAAATTACATTCTGCTACAATGTAAAGTATACAGCCTGTATAACAGTGGGAATTTGCTGTCCCCTCAAAATAACTAAGCTCACAGCCATTAATGTCTAAACCGTTGGCAACAAAAGTGAGTACACCCCTAAGTCACTCACTAGTGTTACAAGGTCTCAGGTGTGAATGGGGAGCAGGTGTGTTAAATTTGTTGTTATCACTCTCTCATAATGGTCACTGAAAGTTCAACATAGCACCTCATGGCAAAAAACTCTCTGAGGATCTGAAAAAAACTAATTGATGCTCTGCATAAAGATGGCCTAGGCTATATGAAGATTGCCAAGACCCTGAAACTGAGCAGCAGCACAGTGGGCAAGACCATACAGTGGTTTCACAGGACAGGTTGCACTCAAAACAGGCAGGTTGACCAAAGAAGGTGAGTACACGTGCTCAGCGTCATATCCAGAGGTTGTCTTTGGGAGATAGACGTATGAGTGCTGCCAGCATTGCTGCAGAGGTTGAAGGGTAGCAGTGTGTGTTAACAAATAAATGTTACCACCAAATACAATAATGAGATAAGGGTCAGCCTGCCAGTGCTCAGAACATATGCCGCACACTGAATCAAATTGGTCTGCATGGCTGTCATCCCAGAAGCAAGCTTCTTCTATAGATGATGCACAAGAAAGCCCGCAAACAGTTTGCTGTAGACAAGCTTTACTGGAACCATGTCCTGT